ACAGTCGATGCACTGCTGCGAAAGTTGTGGGATGATCTTTGATCTTCGGCAAAGCTTTATTTGCATGCGATAGTAATGCTAAGCCCATTCATTCTTCAATGAGATTTCTTCCAGTCAAGATTTTTGAGAAGTGGGTTTTTGCGACTGATAATTATCTTCAGCACACTAAAGCAGCTGTTGTCATTGTCTTTTGATCGTTACTGTACCTGAGGAGAAGTCCACTGCAGTTCTTTTTCCATACACTTCTTTGTTACTCTTCTGGATGTTTTTATAATTCTCTTGCGAGTTTTGCATTTGCAATACATTTTTGGATTTCTTTTCTTTCTTTAGTTTGGCATTCTTTGACACACATAATATTTTCTTTCTTTAGAACTTTGAAATAGAGTCAGCTTCTAATTTTCTACTGCAGTTATAACACATTACCACAAACTTAGTGGCTAAAAACAACAATGAATTTATTCTAGAGTTGACCCTTGAAAAACATGGGTTTGAAAATCCTGGGCCCACATATATTCAGATTTTTTTCTGTTGCTATGGCAGTGAGCTTCAGAGTTGCGAGTATTGCTTAAAATGCCTCTGCGTGACAACACTGGTCTCTTCGTGAGAAGTCCCCCTTTCTGGGGCAAAAAGAAGAGCTCACACATTGCTGATTAGGCAACACTGGGATTTTAAGGTGCTAATAGCCACACTTGAGCTAGTGATAGGAAAACATAATCCCAGTATCAGGCATCCCACACAGCCCAGCATCAGGCATCCCACACATCCCACACAGGATGTTCCTAGAATGTTGACATGGCTGTCTTTATGGCACCATTATTCTGATTACCACAACATAGTTCTCCCCCTCCACCACTCCTAAATAGCTGTTTACAGTCAAAGAATCAAAGAGATATTCCATAAGATGGTACTATAAAACAATGGTTCTCAACCTTCCTAATGCCACGACCCTTTCATACAGTTCCTCAGGTTGTGGTGCCCCCCCAACCATAAAATTATTTTCGTTACTACTTCATAACTGCAATTTTGCTACTGTTATGAATTGTAATGTATCTTATATGCAGGATGTATTTTCATTGTTACAAATTGAACATGATTAAAGCATAGTGATTAATCACAAAAACAATATGTAAGTATATATTGTGAACTATTTATTTCTCATTACAAATAAATGAAATTTTGTCTTGAAGCATGGTGTAGCATGGGTAACAGTCTTCGTGCCAGGTGCTCATATGTGGGCGTATCTGCATGTTGGCAGACCCGCCTGGAAACGGAGAGAGAAGCGGTATCTTGGTTCCTAAGATCATTGGAAATATGTGTTTTCTGATGGTCTTAGGCAAACCCTGTGAAAGGGTCATTTGACCTCCAAAGGGGTCGCGACCCACAGGTTGAGAACCACTGCATTATAGTATAAAACAATACTCAATAGTATTAAGCTTTATAATTTAAAACCGACAGGTTGAGAACTGCTGTTTTAGAGTAGAGAACACAGCTAAGAAAAGAAAAAAGAACGAAGGAAAGCATAATCTGGAGCCCTAGGTGCCTGGCCTTTTCTCTAGGAGAGGATGGAGGTCAGAAACAGGGTTAGAGGAGAATATAGAATATTTGGAGTGGCTTCTCTAAGGGGTTCCTTTACCACCAGTGCACTTTGCTTAAGAGGCAAACTATTCTGCAAAGCTTGCTTGAGTCATTTCAGCCAGGCAGCTTCAGCTTCTATAGTCCTCTTGAAGACCACACAAAGAAGACCTCGGAATTAGGCTATGGCAGAGAAGATCAGTGCTGGGAGGATGAAGAGTTGCAATGCAGGGCTTTGATGATCATTGAGACTGGTCTTCTGAATGCTAGATTAACCCAAAGCTACTGCATTAGAATACTGAGCTTCAACAAAGTCTTTCCAGACAGAAGTGGCAAACATTCAGATCTCTGTAGATGGCAGTCAGCACCTTTATGATCACATTTTGTAGATACTGTAAACCATGCATGGCCTCTGCCAGGGAAGTTTGAATTCCATAATGCACCCAATGCCATTCTTCCAATATGTAATAACGTAGCAAACTAATATGCTGACGTGCTCCAAGATGGAAGATACGTTTACTCCACAGCCGACTGTCGCAAGCATGCACCCCCTACATGGTTAAGTAAACTCTGTCTTTCTTGTATAGGGTATTTATCACATAAACCACCTAAAGCAGTGGTCTCACTGTTTATTTCTGTCAGAAATAGAAGAACCTTGTCCAGCTTGATACCCATAATGCCATGCTTCTACTTTACAAACTGATGGAACGGAGGACTTTCATTTCATGGAAAAGGATATCGGCAATGCGGAGGGTAAGTGAGTTATTGCTAGTCAGAAATTGCTGAGGATACAGTGCTGGACTTCCTGCCTGTGTTTGGGGTACCAGCAGACTATATAGCCCTTAGTAATGTTGCTGATGAACTCATTCATGGCCCAAAATGTCCTTACTAAGAACCATGATCCATTAAACACTGATCTTCCTCCCCCGAGCTGCCACCAGGAGTGAATTGTAAAATAAAATGGTTTAAAATGATTAAAGAGAAAAAAAACAATTAGGACTAGGGCTCAAAGGGGAAAAGATCCCTTCACAATGGAGAAGCCCAGTGGACCCATCTTTACACTAAGTGAGCAATAATCACCAATAATGAGGGAAAGTCACACGTGCTTATTGATTTAACACCTGAAAATGATGTACCACATTAGTACTATCAGAAATGGATAACCTGAATCTAATCACACAAAAACAATAGAGCAGGTACAGAAGAAAGAACATGTTTTGAAATTGATTTTGGTGGCAATAGCACAATATTACTTGATGTGATAGAACTATGGAATGATATATCTGCAAGAGCTCCCAATTAAATGATTAAAAAAAAACAACAGAAAAATCAACAGGCAAACTTTGCTATATACCTTAACTATACCAGTATTAGGTAAAACAAAGAAGTTTGAGGAACTATTTCAGATTAAAGGAGCGTAAAGAAACATGTCAATCAAATGTCACATGTGACTCATGTATAAAGAAAAAAACATCGATATCTCCCATATCCCCTGGAGCCCAGCCTGCCCCAACACTTTCCTCTTCCAGCCCATTGTTAACAGTTCTCACCAAGTCAGAAAAAATGAAAATAAGAATTAAAATCCATAGTCGTCTCTGCAATCTTTGTTTGGAAAACAGAAACAACCTTATGTAAGGATTAATAATAGCTAATGAAGGCAAAAATATGGAGTCTTATAATTATCTAGGTACAAGTAAATTTGAGGTTACATGATATAAAGTTTAATAATGAATTAAGAGTATGTTGGAATTTCAAGTATCAAGAACAACTTATAAAACACACACATACCAATTCTCTGGTTTTGCTTTCTTTGAAGAACTGTAAGCAACTGTTCAAAGGGAGTACATATTCCCAAGTTTTGTAGAGAATAATATTGTGCAGCCAGAGCAAACACTTCCACATTCACCAGCTTCTGGGAGGTTTCACAAAATATTTTGCAGAAATCAGAAATACCTAAAAAAAAAAAGAAGAAAGATAGATTAATAATAGTAAATTGATATGTAATCTGTATGATATTACAAAAGAGAAAACACAGATTTTCTAACAAAATATACTACTCACATTTACATCTGAAATTTGACAATTATCACTATAAAAGTTTTATTTATTTTTTTAATTTAAACTATTAGATATTTTTAGTGCTCTATTTCTGCTAGGTAGTCTAGTTTAGGGGCTGGGGCGTCCACTACGCATGCCCAGAGGTCCAAGCAACCGGGAGTGTGCATGCTCAGATGCTCAGGTTTCCCACCAGGAAGTGGAGGTACACCTGGGTGGGTGCTGCACCTGGATTGGCCCACGTAGGCCAGGTGAATTCAATTCAGCCAATGGGGTCGACCAGGGTCGTCCACCATGCCTCCCTGGGGAATAATTGAAAAGGCAGGAGTCCGGAGCCAACCACATGACTTTCCGACCAGCTTCTAGGGAGACTGCACATTCATGAGGAGCCCTGTGGGAGGCTGTGTAAACCTGAAACTGCTTCTATTCTCTATAAACCCACTTGGATCACAAACCAGGTTTCAGCGTGAATTCTTTCTTGCACGGAGCCAAGGACCGGGGTATATCTCTATCCTGAGAGATCTAACATTTCCTCTTCATATTTTATAAAATTGTATACTTTCAATCCCAATTAAAATTTGCCTCTCTCCCTTTTTCCCAAAAGAAGAGGTTGTCAAATCTTGCTAAAGGTACTGTGACCTCTACATTGAATTTATAAGAGATCAGCTCACACAATTGCAAACTTCCTTCCACACTCTATGTGGAACAACCATAATAACCCCAGTGGTCTTAATGTTACCACAAAATGATTTCTGTCTCATTGGACTAATTAGAACTGCTACTGTGTGTGTATAGATAACAAAATGTTCAATGCATTGTTAATATAAATTCTAAGAAACATTAGATTATATAATCTGGTGGAAACAGCACTTTTCTCCCCATAGCCAATTTTAAACTATACATTCTATGTATAATAATTATTGAGTTTCCAAATGCTCATTCAGAGTATTAGACTATTTTACTGTTAACATACAGCCGGCCTCCCCTCTCTATGAGCTCTTATACCCTGTTGAACTCAAGTATGGCTGCATATTTACAAATCCAATGGTGAACTCAAGTATGGCTGCATATTTACAAATCCAATGGTGCTATCTCCATGTATAAGGTTTTAAAGTATAAGAAAACTAATTACTCTTTTGTTTCCCAGCTCTTTAATTACAGAAGTATGAGTCCAGATGGAACCTTCTGCAACTTGAATGAATAAGACAAGTGCCATCCTAGACATTCAGCCTATGGGAAAATCAAACTTGTTTTGCTTTTCATCACCAAGATTTTTGGCTTCTTATTGCAGGGTAATGTGGTCTAATCTAAAGGACACACACAGCAGACCGATGGTCTGCTTTTCATGCGCTCAATCGCATCTTCATACGGTCTTTTGAAAGGCATGCTCATTTCTTTAAATCAAGGCCAAACCTACTGCTGTTGAGTCTATTCCGATCCATGTTGAGTCTATTGGAGTCATGCAAATTTCACACATTACAGAACAAAACTTCTCCATATGGCTTTCTCGGCTCTAATGTTTATGGAGCCCTGGTGATACAGTGAGCTAAGAACTGAGCTGCTAAACACAAGGTCAGTGGTTCAAACCCAACAGTGGCTTCATGGAAGGAAGATGAGGCTGGATGCATATTGTTATAAGGATTTTATGTTTAGGAAACCTAAAGGGGAAGTTCTACCTTGTCTCATAGGGTCGCGATAAGTTAGAATTGTCTCGATGGTAGGGAGTTTGTTTTTAATGATCTCCAATCCTCTCTAAAAAAGCTATCCTAATTTGTCTGCAGTAGCTCAAAGATAGTCTTTTGATGGAGAAGACAATTCAGTCTAGTCTTTGAAAATTATTTTTTTAAAACTCAAAAAATAATATCTGGTATCTAGTGCTTAAATGAATTTGGTAAAAAGTTCACCTCATAAAAGACCGTCGCAATCTATGGAAGCAACAGGAAAACCATACTCGGAATCTACTTTAGGTTGGCTGGCCCTCCATTTACTTATGAAGATATAAAAATATATTTAAACAACAACAAAGATGCTTCCTAAGAAAAATTAAAAGCAAGGTAACTGACAAATATTTGTGGAATTCTAAGTAAAACTATATGTTTAAGCTAATCTCTACTATTTAAGGTCTCAGTTGGAACAAACAATAACCTAAACATAACCTAATTTGAACCTATTAGTTCAAATCTGCCTGCAGGACAATGGAAGAAAAGCCTGCTGATGTACTTTCATAAAGAGTGCAGCCAAGAAGACCCTATGAAGTGGTTCTATTCTGTAACACAGATTATTAGTTGGAATTAAATTGATGGCAATGAGTTTTTAAAATCTATTTAGTTGGTGGTGGTGGCAATGTTTACTAAAATTGTCAATGATTTTTAACTTTCATTTCTGATTCAATCTAATTACAAAACTATTTGGTAAATTTAGTTATGATACACTTAACATGTAATATAAAGTTCTTTAGACATCTGGCAAACTGAATTTACTAATATGGCCAAAAATAATAAAATCTACAGCAAAATATTTAGGCATGCTACAGAGGGGAAAACTCGCTCAACTATTCAGTGAGACTACTCTCAGGTCTACGGGCAGTCTCAACATCCCCAAGTTGCAGGGCAGCAATTTCTTAGAGTGGGATAGAATAAGCGTATTAAATCTCAACTTGCAGAGGGATCATTATAGTAGTCAGTTATTGGACAATGTTGCCAACAGAAAGAAATGTGATGTTTCTGTTGGAAAAGTAAAGGTCCCAAGCAATTTAACCATGCTAAATGAAAATGGTTGGAAAAATCAAACTGCAATCTGAATTAAGTGTTGGCTTTTAATTACAGCCCTCTTAGTAATTAAAAAAATTTAGAGGTCTAAATAACAAAGACATTATCTTCTTAACAATCACTATTTTATTTTTAAAAATGGGGGGGGTAGTATTTTAATTCTGTCCAGTTTGCTCAGACAGTCTAGAAATCTATGAAAAAAATCTTTTTGAATTATGGAAATATAGCTCTAGGACTTTCTCTGTTTTCAAGTGAGCTAGCCTGTAAGTGTCATTACATGCTATTTTTAGATATACTGAGAGAGAAGTGCCAATGATCTTGTCTTTACTCCCATCTCTACAACAATACATGAGAAAAGTTATGTGGTGATGTTATAGGAAAAGTTATGTAGGTGTAGTCCTGATGGTATTTCTCTAGGTACTCATATAATGAGATTGGATTTTCCAATTGGATAAAAATGCAATCATAATGTAGCTCAACTTATACTTAGTTAATTCCAAATTAGTTTTTTATACAAGAAAGTTTGATTTTTTTAAAATACATTTTTTAATTTGCTGGCCATTACATCTATATGAGATGCCTGATTTTTTTTGCCAACATCTCCCTCTACTGGGTGAGACGAGTGAGTTTGAACATGTAGAATACAATAGAAGATAAAATGTAATTATGTGATAAATTTTGAGGTTAACTGTGTTACAGAGGTTAGGAGAAAGGTCACTATTATTATTATCACCTAGCATTTCTTTAAATGAAAATAATAGTTTCCCGGATTGCTTTATTGCATGTTCTACATGTTTTCTTTATTGACTCTTAACTTTTTGTATCATTGTTCCACAAAAATTTCTTGACCAAAACCCGCAAGCTCATTGCCATCAAGTCAGTTCTGACTCAGGTTTCTTGGAGGATAATTCAGCATGAGGTATCAGAAGGAGAGACAAGTCTTTTTATCAATATGTTATATTTACACTTATTAGTTATTGTTTTGAAGTATGAGCTCTCATATTTCTTATGAAAGAATGTTTTCAAGGATCTTTTCTTTTTCTGCCCCACACCAGATATGACTGTACAAATTAGAAAAATTCTATATACATACACGTGATTGTGAAATTCTCAAGGTAAAGAAATACATAATAGAATTTTAAAATAAAAATAAGGGATTACCATATTTACATTTTATAAGTGAAAATAAAAACACCAGTTTGACTAGGGCATTATTTAACATTTTAAAGAAGACAGAGTACTGTCAGGGTCCACAATAATTCATCACTTCTCTCATTAACATTTAAAAAGCCATAGATTACCAGTTGGGCTGCTAACCATAAGGTCACAAGTTCAAAATCACCTGCCCCTCTTAGGAGAAAGTTGAGGTTTTCCCCTTCCATAAAGATGTACAGCCTTGGAAACCCACAGGGGCCATTCTATTCTGGTTTACAGTCACTATGGATCAGAATCAACTCAAGGGCAGTGAGAGAAAGAGATCACTAACATCTGTTGCACAAAAATTATATGCCAAGTACTTTACATTTAACATAAGTCTTATCCCCATTTTCCAGAGGAAGAAACTGAGAGGCTATAATTTATTTAGGTGCCAACAGAAACCAAGTGGGAAAGCATGCAAGCTAAAGCAGTGGGCCCTTATACCATCATCTTAATTCCCACATTTGAGTAATATGGCACAGTGGCTAAGACCCAAACCCAGAATCAAACTCACTGCCATCAAGTCGATTCTGACTCACAGCTACCCTAGAAAGGGCAGGGTAGGACTTCCAGGTTGCCAAGACTAAATTTTGGGGAGAGCATGGTGTTTGAATTACTGAACTCACAGTAGCCCTCAACAGGCCAGTGTTTAGATCATGGTGCCAGCAAGAGTCCACGCAGCTAAGTACCAAACCAAGAATCAAACCCAGTGCCATCACATCACTCCCGACACAGAGGCTATTTAGGACAGAGCAGAGGTGCTCCTTCGGGTTTCCGAGGATCCAGATAGCAAGTCCATTGAACAATAAATGCAATCAGCTAAGATAGCCATTAAGAAAAGCTGGCTGTCAAAATTAGGTCAGACAAAGATCCCTTCTGACAGAGATAAATGTATGATAACATTGCAAGATATTTAATACTCACTTTATCTTA